TACACATTCCACCCCCACCCGAGGAACAAAAGAAGCCATGGGGGAAGGGAGAGAGCGGCTGGTGTAAGATGAAAATAATTTATAATTTATCAAGGTGTTGAGGGTGGGGGGCATGAGGGAAAGAAGAGGAGCTGATACTAAGGGCTCAAAAGAAAGTAATCGTTTAGAAAATAATGATGGCAACGTATGTACAAATATGCTTGATACAATCAATGTACAGATTGTTATAAGAGCTGAGTCCCCGATAAAATGCTTTAATTAAAAAATACTATATTTTGACATAAACTCGAGTACGAGAAAGCAAACAGCACAACTCCCTTGTATTAGCTTCCTATGCACAATATGAACATTAAATATGTGCACAGTACATATTACATATCTTGTGCTATCTTCCCTTCTAGATTATCTCTACACAGCCAGCAGGTAATTCATTAAATGTTAGTTAAATGAATAGATCACTTCTAAAAGGGGTTTCTAGGTAGACAAAGGCTTCCTTTAATCTGAGGGGGCTGCAAAAGGTTTGTGGGACATTCTATTATCTTTTCATTCCACTTTTCCCATATCACGTTACCCATGGAAAAGGTTGGTAGAGCTCTTTGGACTGTGGTGATGGGCAAGGGCATGTCTCCTGCACTCCTCTGAGGAGGGGCCACCATCTCCGTGGCCACAGCTGCAAGTCAGCCCTGTGCAGTCTTGGGACATCCTGTGCTGCATTCTTTCAATGATCTATGTACATTTTATGGATAACTTTGATCTGTGTAAGTTTACATGTTTAATCTTTTACCTCCTGTCATTGGCCACAGTGACAGTATTTTCAATGTAGTTTTACAGTTGTGCTTGCATTCCCAGCTTCAGTCTGGCACTGAAACTGTTCGTCCTCAGCAGGCCATACACTCATTTTATTCATGCTTCCGTGAGAAAGGTTATGATGGCATGTTGTGCTGCTGTAAAACCAACCGTGTCCTTGTCGTTCCCTGCAGACACCAGGAGCTTAAGTAGCCCCTGCTGCACAAACTTGCTTCTGTGGGCTTCACCTTCTTCCTACTGGCAGGCGTATTCACATGCTATAATTCATGTATTTTTTGTTTGTTTTCATGTATTCTGACAACATGCATTATCTTCCATTTCCCATCATATAAGTAATGGTCAGTTACTGTGACTTGGCCAGGCTGATGATGAGAATCATGCAAAGTACCTCTATGTAGCCTTTTGAACTTAAGAACCTCATGAACTTGGGGATTTACCACAATACAAATTCTTCTGCTTTTGGTTTCTGCTCTAATGAATTAAACATACCGAAAATGCAAACCCACTGCCACCAAGTGGATACTAACAGCAGTCTCATAGGGCAGAGAAGAGCCTCTTTGGATTTCCAAGACTTTTCATCTTTACAGGATTAGACAGCCTCATCTTTCTCCTGTAGAACAGCTGGTGGGTTGGAACCACTGATTCTGTGGTTAGCAGTACAATGTGTAACCCACTAAGCCACCAGAGGTCCTCAGGTAAACACAGAAGACAATGTTGAGGATTGCTATTTGTGGTTAGAACTTTCTGCACCTTGTTTACTTTCTGGGCTGTATTCCCAATGCCTGGATTAGCAACAGACCTCTGGGAAAATAAGCAGTTACATTCTCTTAACACTAAGGGGTCTCTTGAACCTCTCATTACTCTCCTATGTCTGATTCTGTGGTGTCTTCTTCCCAACAACTTGGTACCTCTGGTAGATACTCTTAGAAATCAATGTTACCCAAAAAAAGGAAAGAAATCAGTGTTACAGTGGCTCATCTGTTCTTTGTGCAACCACTATTTGCAGAATAGTTAGATAAATGCCTCCTTAAAGTTTGGAACTGCAAACCTCCTCTTGTGATAAAGGATTTGGTTTTGTGGAACTTAATGTTGCTCTCTCAATACTGTCCGTTCACAAAAACAAAACTTTTAGTCTTCACCAACCAAGGACATGTCTGCAAGTGGGCAGTCATTCAAAGGAAGGTTTGAGCCTTTTAAATGATATGCCTCAAAAACTGGTTCTCTACCAAGTGGCTGCCGCTTCAATTGGGAGAGTATGATCTTCATCTTACCCAGTGGCATCTGTGAAACTGAACACTCCAGAAATTACTCTTCAGACACTAAAATCTAGCCACCTACTGATAAAAACACTGTTTTTTCCCAACATTCCCTGATGTGGCTTTAGTATAAATGACCTCCACAGCTAAGATTTTTTTATGTATACACCTGCTCAGAGGCACCTCAAAGTCCTCAACTAAAAAGAGGGATTATGGATTTCTGCATCTGATTAGGAAATGACTGTTTTCTAATCCTTTTCTATCAATTGCACTTAGTGCTGATGCCTAGTGCTGGGGTACCCCAGTGATTCATTCATGGACTCAGAAGAAACATGAACAGATTAAGAACTTCTTGTCAAAACCTATTCATTATTTATTGTCCAGGAAGCCTCCATTCAGGCTGTTTATTAGAAAGTCTGTCTCACTCAGGTCTATAAAGGAAATACTGCACACCTTAGATAAATCAACCATTTGATACCTAAAGGGCAACATTCAGAAGTGTTGGGAAAGGAGGAGGCATGGGAAAGGAACCACGGGGAGGAAGTAGGATAAGTGGTGTACCTTATAGGAATTACAATCCGTGGCATGAAACAAAATGTGTATCAGTTGTTGAATGGCAAACTGCTCTGCTCTGGAAGTAAACCTTCACCCAATTCACAATAAAAAGTTGTTTCTTTTTAATGAACTTTTTAAAAGGCCTTTCCAGAAGACAGATTTGGAGTTGTCCATATAACAATAAGAGCCCCCCCAACTACCAGGACCCCAGTTTCGCCTTGCAGACCTGGTTAGACCAGATGA